TTTCTATTTAGTAGAGACAAGGGACTAGCTCTTGTCTCAAACGCCTGCGTTCAAGCAATCTGCCCGTGTTGGCCTCCCAGAGTGCTGCAATTTATACGTGTGAGCCACTACTGCTCAGGCCTTTCCCATCATTAATGTAGGGTACAAAGCACATCTTGAACAGTTCCTGGCTTTTGTTGCAATTGCTGTGCAAGTCTTCTTCATAAAAAGTTTCCCCAGGCTGATATCTTCAAGTGTTTTCCCCATACTTCCTTTGAGGATTTTTATTGTTTCGTGCTTTAGATTTAAATCTTTTATCCATTTTCAATCAATTTTTGTAAGTGGTAAAAGGTTCAGGTCCAGTTTCAGTTTTTTACACGTGGTTATCCAGTTCTCCAGCACCATTTATTAAAAGCTTGTTTGGAGGTTCTAGCAGGAGAGTGCAGCTACTTGTATACCCTTGACCGAAGAACGGTCCTCCTCTATCCGGGAAGGTCGTCCTCTTCGACCAAGCATGCAGCTTCAGGAGGGACGCACATGGAGCAGTGAGGGAGGAAGGGGACACCTAGCCAGCCAGATCAGCTGATTCAACCCTGGCCATCAATGGGGTGACAGATGTCACAGCCAGATCGCCCTCACACCCAGCACCATTTATTTTATAGGAATTCTTTCTCCCAGTGTATGTATGTTTTTGTCCGGTTTATCAAAGATCAGGTGGCTGTAGGATGTTAGTTTCATCTCATGGTTTTTCTATTTGGTTCCAAATGTCTAGGTTTCTATTTTTGTGTCAATACCATGCTGTTTTGATTACTATGGCCTTGTAGTATCACCTAGTCTGGTAGGGTGATGATTACTAAAAATTGCCTTGGTTATATGGGGCTTTTTCTGGTTCCATACAAAACAAAGAATTATTTTTTCCGAATCTTGAAAGTATGACATTGGTACTTTAATGGGGCTGCATTCAATTTGTAGATTGCTTTGGGAAGTATAGACATTTTAACAATGCAAATCAAAATCACCCTGAGAAATCACCTAACACTAGTGAGAATGGCTTATATCACAAAGTCTCAAAGCTGCAGATGCTGGCGTGGATGTGGAGAGAAGGGAACACTTTTACACTGCTGGTGGGACTACAAACTAATACAACCTTTTTGGAAGGAAGTATGGAGACTCCTCAAAGAACTCAAATTAGACCTCTTATTTGATCCTGCAATCCCGTAGGCATCTACCCAGAAGAAAAAAAAAAATCCTTTATCATAAGAACATTTGCACTAGACTGTTTATTACAGCTCAATTTACTATCAACAAAATGTGGAAACAAACTAAATGCCTACCAACCCAGGAATGGATTAACAAGATGTGATATGTGGATTACCATGGAATACTATTCAGCCATTTAAAAGATGGAGACTTTACATCTTTTGTATTAACCTGGATGGAGGTGGAACACATTCTTCTTAGTAAAGCATCCCCAGAATGGAGAAGCAAGACTCCAATGTACTCAATTCTAATACGAAGGCAGTAGATGATCTAATACAAGATGGGGGTAGGGGAATGAGGAAGAGGGGAGACAGAGATGGGAGGGGGATGGGAATCACAGTGTATGGCACATCTCTTGGGGGCAGGACACAATTATAAGAGGGACTTTACCTAACAAATGCAATCAGTGTAACCTAATTCTTTGTACCCTCAATGAATCCCAAACAATAAAAAAAAAAAAAAGCTCCTGGGTTTCAATCTCACCCCTCTCACCTTCTGTGTGGCCTCTGGGCAGTTTCTCCCTGTCTGAACCTCAGGCTCGTCATGTGTAGAATGGAGAGGAGGATTTCAACCTCAGAGTGATGCTGTCAGACTGCAGAGGTGGGAGAGGCCTGGCCCAAGCAGGGCTTGGCTCTGCTTGGAGGCAGCCGGGAGGGGATTACCCTCCTCCTTCAAGGGAGGGTGGGCTGGGCTTGGTTCCAGCAGCCCTGTTGCCAGCCCTCCTCCTGGCTACCCTGGTGACACAGCAGGGAACCTGCACTGAGTTTCTGTCCCCAGCACTAGGCTGTGAAGACATGAACAAGGTCTTTCCCCAGGTAAGAGTGGGCTGGCTGGTCTCCTGCTCTGGAGAAAGCAAAGCCTCAGGGAAGGGTGGGCAGTAGAGGGGACACAGAGAGAGACTGAGGCAAGGCAGCTTCTGCTCTGCCCTGGGGCCCACTGCCAGGGGACCCAGCTACACTGCTCAGGAGGCAAGTGCTGAGAGGGAGGCAGACAGCCAGGAGGATGGAGGCCAGAAAGGTGTCAGGGAAAACTTTGGGAGGAGCTGCTGGAGTCAGGGTGTGATGGGGGAGGAAGGCATCGCAGGCAGGGGCACAGTGTGACAGTCAGGCCTGTGTGAGGAGTCAGGGGCAGGCAGCATGAGGGCTGAGGGGCACTGGGGTTCCTCCTAAAAGGCACTCTGTGACTCCTGAAAAACTCCGTGGTCTAACACCCCAAGGCCGGCCTCACCCACCTGAGCCCCCCTCACTCTGTTCTCTTCCGCAGGGAGATAATGGCAACGGGGCTGCTGGAACCAAAGCCCTCTCTGGAGGGGCAGGTAAAGAACAGAGGGCCTGGGGCCAGCGCCCGAGGGCTCTACCGCCCCCAGCTGGGGTTCCTCGGTATCTAGATAGTTAGCTACAAAGTGGGTTCCAGGCCCCTGCTGTCCCTCAGACCTCTGCCCCCATGGTGATGTTGTCTGCTTCCAGCTTCCCGGCCAGCAGTGAGGTACAGTCGTTCCTTCTTTCCCGGTACATGCGTCCACCCTGCACCTCCTGTGTGCTGCCCTCATGGCCTCGCATGCAGATGGTGCCCAGCTGGGACACAGAGAAAAGAGCTCCAGAGTCAAGTCCCTGATGCAGCAGGCGACCTGGGCAATTTTCTTTATCTCTAAGGGATAAAGTGACGCCCCTATTGAGCCCTTCTCTGTGCTGCTGACTCACCGTGTGACGGGACAGTTCTCTTTGCCTTTATGAGATAGAGGATGGAGCTCACGCTTCCTGAGCATCTCCTGTGTGCCCTGCCTTGGCCCACGTTTGATCATTGAGGATACAGGCCCACTGGAGAGAGGAGAGAATAACAGTCGTAAAGGATCCCGTTCCGACTCGTGCCTGGCCGGGTGTGATCTCTTTCAGTCCTTGGGACAGCTCTGAGGCTGGCCCTGTTATGGGGCAGTAAGAGATGAGGCAGCTGGGGCTGAGAGAGGTTGGGTAACCAGGCCACGGTCACATAGCCAGGAGGGGGCAGGAGTAGGGTTCAAATTCGCACGGAGGTGCCTCTGGCTGCAAAGCCCCAATGCCTCTGTTGCTCCTCGCTGGCGCGGGCGTGGGTTTCCAAGCGCCAACCGCGGTGGTGGGCGTGGCTGTGGGAAGCCCCGCCTCCTTTCCTCCATGTGGGCAGGGAGCGGGGTTGGCGTCCACCGGCTTTCTGAAGTGCGGCTTTTTCACTGCCTCTGCCAGAGTCTCTCCTGTGGCCCCACCTCGCTCACAGCCTGTACAAATATTTGAGGAGGGCTCCTGGGCTGACCAGGACACCTCCTCTTCCCCGGCGTCATGCGGTCTCCCTGGTTACCTGAGTTTGCCCTGTGTTTGCGATGATGAGAGAGCCACCCGGCTGGGGCTGTAGGGTTGATGGGATGCCGATTTATGCAGCGTCTCCTAACACTGTCTCCTGTCACACACATCCTGTGCGCCCACCACACCAGGCCACTCACTGTCCCCACATGCCCTCTGCCTGGAATGCCCCTCTTTGCACCCTCCCACACCTGCCTCTGGAAGTCCCACCCACGCTTCCGAGGACCCTGCATTGGAAATGTGAGTGGGTTGAGTGGAAATGACACATCTGCCCCACGGTGGGGTCTTACCTTGCTTCCTGGATCTCTGGGTCACCATAGTCACAAAGTGTGTGCCTGACTCTGGGATAAATCAGACCTACCCTGCCCCTTTCTTTGAGGTAATTGTGGCCTGAACAGGACAGCAGCTCACATGTCCTTCATGCGTGTTCATGCCTTGTTACTAAGTGCAACTTCGAGCTTGCAGAGCTCAAGGACCAGAGACACAGCCACTTGTGCCCTCTACAGAGCAGGGCACCTAGTAGGTCTTCAAAAAGGTGTTCTTTCATTATTTTGTGAGCAAGCAAGAATTAAAAGAGTGAATATGGTTCTGTGAGAGCAGGGACGTCTCCTATCACTGCTGTTTCTACAGCACTTAGAGCAGTGCTCAGTAAGCACTAATAAGGACCCATGCTCTTACTACATGCCCAGCGCTATTCTAATACATTAACTTGGCTCAGCACCTGTGGCTCAAGTGGCTAAGGCACCAGCCATGTACACCTCAGGTGGCAGGTTCAAATCCAGCCTGGGCCCACCAAACAACAATGATGGCTGCAACCAAAAAATAGCCAGGTGTTGTGGCGGGTGCCTGTAGTCTCAGCTACTTGGGAGGTGGAGGTAGGAAACTCACTTGAGCCCAAGAGTTGGAGGTTGCTGTGAGCCATGATGCCATAGCACTCTACCCAGGGGGACAGCTGGAGGCTCTGTCTCAAAAAAAAAAAAATACATTAACTAGACCAGCTCTAATCTTTTATGTTTTTTTAGAGACAGAGTTTTACTTTGTTGCCCTTGTTAAAGCGGAAATGGTGTAACTGAGATTCCAACCAGTGTCCTGGAAGACTCCAGAATGGAACTGTGGAAAGGACATCAGGTTTTTTTTGTTTGTTTGTTTGTTTGTTTGAGACAGAGTCTCACTTTCTCACCCTCAGTAGAGTGCTGTAGCATGATAGCTCACAGCAGCCTCAAACTTTTGGGCTTAAGTGATTCTCTTGCCTTAGCCTCCCAAGTAGCTGGGACTATAGGCACCTGCCACAACGCCTGGCTATTTTTTGGTTGTAGTTGTCATTTCTGTTTGACAGGCCCAGGCTGGGTTGGAACCTGTCAGCCTCAGTGTATATGGCTGGCACCGTAACTACTGTGCTACGGGCACCAATCCAGGACACAGGTTTTGACATCAATCCATTTCTGCAAAGGGTGACCTGGACTTTTTCCTCTCTGAGCCTCAGTTTTCTCATTGATAAAATAAAGGGTTGTTTTAGAAAATAAAAATAATAGCAATGAAAAGCCTGACATAGTTTTGGCCCCACAGTAGGGGCTGGATATACAATTGTCCATCTCACCTGTGTCCGCAGGAGGCTGCCCCCTTGGGGCAGAGTGGGAGGGAGAGGGTTGTGGAGCACAGATGGGGTCCTCCTCATCTCCCTTGCCACTTACCAGCTGTGGGGCCTGGGCTAGGGATGGGCGCTTGGGGGGATCTATAGGCAGAACCCAGGCACACTATGGACGGCTTAGGAGCCCCCTCCCCCAGCAAGCCCATCCTGGTTGGGGAGGTGCTGCTCACAGGGAACAGTGCAGTAGGGGCATCTTTGGGCCCATCGCCAGCTGCCCCATCACTGTAGCCCACTGGCTTTTTTTCCCAAAAGGCTGCAGTCCCTTCTCCTGCTCGCGCCACAGGGCCTGCCTCTTGGCCTCCGTGCTGCTCCTGCTGGCAACTCTAGCTGCCTTCATTGCCCTGATCATCATCATCAGACTCCCACTACGTATGCCAGGTAAGGGTGGTCAAGAGAGGGTGGGGGGCCGGGCAAGGTGGCTCATGCCTGTAATAATCCTAGCACTCTGGGAGGCTGAGGGGGGTGGATTGCTTGAGCTCTCAGTTCAAGACCACCCTGAACAAGAGCAAGTCCCAGTCTCTAAAAATAGCCAGGCACTGTGGCAGGTGCCTATAGCCCCAGCAACTTGGGAGGCTGAGGCAAGAGAATTGCTTGAGCCCAAGAATTTGAGGTTGCTGTGAGCTGTGACACTACAGCACTTACTAAGGGTAACAAAGTGAGACTATCTCAAAAAAAAAGAACCAGCACCTCATTGGAGGCTGTGGGCAGTGGCTCAGGCCTGTAATCCTAGCCCTCTGGGAGGCTGAGGGGAGTGGATTGCTTGAGTTCAGGAGTTCAACACCAGCCTGAGCAAGAGTGAGACCCCATCTCTACTAAAAATAGAAAAATTAGCTGGGCATTGCAATGGTACCTGTAGTCTCAGTTCCTCAAAAAGCTGAGGCAGGAGGATTGCTTGAATCCAGGAGTTTGAGGTTGCTGTGAGCTAGGCTGATACCATGGCATTCTAGGCAACAGAGTGAGACTCTGTCTCAAAAAAAAAAAACCCCAAAACCGGGCTTGGTGCCTGTGGCTCAAGTGGCTAAGGCACCAGCCACATACATCTAACCTGGCGGGTTCAAATCCAGCCCTGGCCCACCAGAAACAATGATGGCTGCAACCAAAAAATAGCCAGGCGTTGTGGCAGGCGCCTGTGGTCCCAGCTACTTGGGAGGCAGAGGCAGGAGAATCGCTTGAGCCCAGGAGTTGGAGGTTGCTGTGAGCTGTGATCTCACAGCACTCTACCCAGGGTGACAGCTTGAGGTTCTGTCTCAAAAAAAAAGAAAACAAAAAAAAAAACCAAAACTCCAAAAAAACTCCACTTCACCGAGTTTGAACATTGTCCTCAGAAGCTCCCTGTGAAACTATAAATAAGTTTTCAATAAAAGAGAGACACTTTATTTATTCTGCACATTCTGTTTTATGTTTGTTCATAGAAAAGCTTCTATTTAATCCCCCCAATAGTCCTATGGGGTGTGTGTTATGACCCTCATTTTGCAGACAAAGAACCTGAGGCTCAGCGTTTAGGTCATCTGCCAAGGTCAAGCAGCTGGCAATGGTAGAACAGGGGCTTGAGCCCCATCTATGGCACAAATCCAGCATGTTCTCCAGTTCCCCAGCCCTTCGGTTCAGCTCATGTAAGGGAACTTCGGCAGGTTTGATGGCAGTGATGCCCTTGAGAGCACCACCCTTGACCCTCCAGGGCCTCCTACTGCCCTTTCAGGACGCCAGGTTTGCATAACACTGACGAACAGGACGGGCTTCTTGTGCCACGACCAGAGGCACTGCATCCCGGCCAGCAGGGTCTGCGACGGCATCCGCACCTGTGCCCACGGCGAGGATGAGGATGAGGGCTTGTGCCGTGAGTACCTGCTCGGCCCTGGCCCTAACCTTGATGGGCCTTCCCAGGGGCCACCCCCAACTCTCCCTGCAGCTGTACAAAAGCACCCCCAGCCCTGAGCATATTAGGCCCCTTTTACACCCATGTCATTTGTTATATAGAGACCCCAGTTAGGAGCACCCGCCCCTGCCCGTACCAGTCATGTACATGCTGTGGATCCCCACTGAGGAAAGCCTTCACTCAGCGGATCTCCTCTCCCAGAGAACCTGCTTTCATCCTTCAAGGCAGAGTTCAAGTGGTACCTCCTCCAGGAAGCCTCCCCTGGCTTCTGTATTAGGTTAAGGGGTTAAACTTCCTTTGGGCTCTCATAGCTCCTGTGCTTCCCTGGGTCCCAACCTCAGTCACACTGGTCGTCACTCTCATTTGGCATATCTGCCCCCACCCCCATCAGCCTGTGAACTCCTCTGGGCCAGCTCTGGACTGCGAACTCCTCTGAGCCCAGAGGGATATTATTGCTAAATGAGCAGGTGAATGAATGAGTGGGAAGACCTGGCTCTAGCCCATAGAGACCTGCAGAGGGAGGTGATGTGCCTGCAACAGGTAGTAACGGCGCAACGCAGTGCCTGGCCCCACAGGAGAGAGAGAGCCTGGAGAGTTGTAGTGGGGGGTTTGGGGCGCTTTTGGGAAGGGGGACCTCGCTTCGTGGACTCTTGAGAACAGAAGTCTTAGCAGCATCTAGGCCATGCCCCAGCCCGTACCAAATCCTCTCTCTTGCAAGCCCAGCAGAGGCCCCCCAGACGCTGCTTGCATACTCCTGGGTGGGGAGCTCAGCACATGAGGCAGTCACCTCTAGAATTGGATGGTTTTCCCAGGAAAGATCTTCCTTATCTTGAGCTTAGCCCTGCTTCCCAGGAGTGTCCCTGACTGGTTTATCAGCCCCTGCCCCCGACAGACCACGTTTTAACCCCTGTCCCATGATGGTGGCACTGCGTGGATTTGGAGGTGATCTCTAACACCTGTCCCATGATGGGGACACTGTGTGGATTTGGAGGTGCTCTCTAACCCCTGTCCCATGATGGGGTTACTGCATGGATTTGGAGGTGCTCCCTAACCCCTGTCCCATGATGGGGCCACT